AGACTAGGGGGCAAACTGTGGAATTGTACAGTACAACTTGGAACCTGTGTTCTGTCATCCCTCCAATCACACATAGTGAAGCTGGAACAGTCTGCAACCTCTACTCACAGATGACTAAGGAGCTGAACAATCTAGAGTTGTAGCTGATAATGATGAAGAATGAGTTTGATACAAAGATCATGGCTCTGAGGCAGGGTATCAACTTCTTAGCCATGGCAGCAGAAGCCTCTGTAGATAGTAGGGTGGAAGAGTTAGAGTAGGAAATAGAACAGGGTAGAAAGTAGAGAAATAAAAGTCCAGTTTTGTTTTTTATGAAAAAAAACTGGAATGTAAGGAATAAACAGAATGGAACAGAAATGGATGGAATGGATAGGAAAATAGATAATATAGAGAGTTAAGAGGAATGGAATGGATAGATGGATATTTTTATGATTTATGTATAGAACTAGTGGAATAGGATGGGAATAGGTGGAAAAGAATCATAATTTGTATAAAGGTTTATATGCTTATAGAATGTTGTATGGGCTTTTTGCAATTATTGTAAATGAGAAGGAATGTAACAGAAGATTGAAAGTATGTGAATATAAAACATAACAAAGCATAGGGAACTGTAGTAGAACACAGTATTTACAGATTTACACAACTGTTAGGTGTTGCTGGTAGGGAATCAATCCCTATATTTTAGTTTCTAGTACAAGACTAGGAGGGTATATTGAAAAATTGCACATTCTCGGATCAGGAGTCTGTGACTTCTACACTTGGTTCTACTTCAAGTGTAGCATCTGAAGCACAGTTGTCTAGATCATCTGTATCCTTGCAACTAGTCCTGTATGGTTCTGCATCTTCCAGCATTAGTTCTGCAGCCTTGATGAGACATGAGATAGGAACTGTTAAACGTGAACACAGAAAATACAGAATTAGGCAAAATACTGTAATACATAACTTGGCCACTACTCTGTCCAATTCTGCTACAACATAAGTGTTTCCTTTTGTTCTTCACACTACTACAAATGGTCTGAGGTATCACAGTTTCATCTTTCGTCCTAAGTTGTTGCTCACTTTTGAATTGCAGATTAGCACTAGTGCACCTAGAGCAAAGTCATAGTCCTTGATCCAATTACAATTGACTTCTGCAAAATGCTTTGTGTATCTTTTGCAGGTGTTCTGAACACATTCCATCATTTGTATAAGGTTGTCTGGTCTCTTCTACAATTGTTGTACTTGTATCACTACCAGTTCCTCTGTTGTTAGTAGCAATCCTTCAGGTGGAACCAAATACATTGCCTTGTTCAGGTCAAACAGTAATATTGGCTCTACTCTATGAACAAGGTAATAAGGAGAATATCCAGTCACTTTCTGAATTGTAATCTGCTCTGCCCAGAACACAGAATGTGTGTACTTATACCAATGTCCAATATTGTCTCCTACTGTCTTTACAATTGCTTCCTGTACATCCAAGTGTTTCCACTCAATAACTCTGTTTGTGTAGGAGTTATACACAGAAATCCAAATATGATTGATGTGGTACCATTCTTGCAAATAGTCCAGCACTGTAATGTAAGGCATTCTGTTGTCTGTTACAAGCTCAGGACATGCCCTGTATTAGTATAGAAGTTCTTCAAAGATAAACTGTCCTATTGTCCTTCTGTTCTCTGTGTGAAGCATGCAAAACTCTAGATACCCTGATAATGAACAGTATGTATGCACAATATATCAGAATCTTCCTACTTTCAGTATAACCTTTGTATCTATGTGGATCTTTTGGAAAAGCAGTACAATCTCTGGAATACTTGGTGGAATCAGCACTTGTTGCATCTGCCAAGTCTGACATGTATGACAAGTCCTAATGAAGTACTTAATGTCTTCTGTAAGAGATGGCCACCAGAACTGATCTAGTAAACAGGCTCATACTGTAAAGATTCCCTTGTGTCCTAAGTCTTTGTGTACTATCCTAACCAACACTCATCTCCTGTCCTTATCCAGCACAATCTAATGCTTTCCTTTGGGACCTTAACACCAAATCTTGTTGTTCTGTACAAAGAACTGTGTAGCATATCATATAAACCTTGGAAAATCAGTGTCTGCAATTCCACTTGGTTTGCAGAGCGAGCCAAGATACTCTTTCACAGCCTTCAGTCTTGCTTCTTACCTTTCAGTGGTTAGTGATTGTAGGAATCGTTCTACTGTTACATCCAAACCCTCAGTCTTGTTACTACAGATGCTGCACACAACCCTTATCAGCTCTAGATTGTCACCCTCTACTTTGTCATCTGCTCCCTCTACCTCCTCAGTTCCCACAACTCTGCAAGACTCTCCTCCAGGTTCCTACTCATGTACTCCTTTGTCTACTATACCTTCTACTCTTCTGTGTTCCAGATCAGGTTGTTCCAGTTTATCTCAACGTATCCAATTCCAGTTCTGTTTCAGAATAACAACTTCCAGGAATAATCTATGTTACAGTCTGCCAGATTGTGTTGCCTGTAGCACGTCCTTGTTTACTTGAAATGATTTGTCAATAATGTTGTTGTGTGTCTCCCAGCACATTGTATCTGAAACCCAGGACTGTGTTTCTACACACTCAACTAACAAGGCTTTGTGTTCTGTAGCCCTACAAGTTTCTAGCTGATGTCTGTGTTGTGTAGATTCTATTTCTGCTGTGTAAAATCTGTATGACTTGTCAATCCAGTCTTCATAGGTGTTGTTGTCTAGAGGGTCTTTGGGTACTACTCAGTGTCACAATAATCCATCTGTACACTTGAAGTCTGATGTAGGAATGTGACAGAACTCAAAATCGAATAGCAAAATACTGGCTATCCAGCAATTGATTGTAGCATTAGGCTGTAGGTCAGGCTTATTGATCATTCCCTTTACATATGAAGTGTCCATTTCCACAATTAATTTCTTGACACCTATAAGATATATGTGTAATGTGTGAAGTGTGTGATAAAGTCTGAAGAGCTCTATTTTTGCTTACAAATATTGTGCTTGTGTTACATTCCAGTTAATCAATCTGAATCGATTTATTCTCTGTTTGCAATCTGAGTGCTCCTGACCAATATACTATCCTACTCTAATGATAGACAAATCTACTACCAAGACTACTGGATACTCTAACTTGTAGTCAATTGGTGTTAGTGTAGGGCAATGTAAAACTGCTTCCTTGAGTGTGTCCATAGATTTCTGTGCCTTGTCATTCTAATTAAATATCAAGTTCTTTTGTGTGAGTCAATTGAGTGGTTACACTAACTTTACATAATTCTGAATAAAAACACAAAGCACTCCTACTGTTCTGAGGAATCCCTGTACTTCTGTAACACTCTTGCAAGGCAGCCAATCCCTAACCTTCTGTATTTGTAATTCTTTGGCCTCTCTCCCCAAATATGTCAGCTTATGCCTAACAAATATTACAGATTTGTTACAAAGCATTATCTTCTTTCCAGAAAATGTCCCTCCTACAGCTTTCACTCTCTACAAAATCTGGTTTATGTCTATCAGATGCTTGTATACAAACTTCTGTATTCCCTTGTTCTTAGGAAGCATTTCCTCTGTTCTGTCTACTGTCTCATATCTTGAGTAGGGTCCAATTACTAGAACATTGTCTGTATATGAGTTTGTAACATTCAGAATCTTGTCACAAAGAATAAACACTAAGTCATTATGCAGAATCTGTACTGAGTTAGTGTAACCCATTAGTAATACTGTCAAGCAAAACGTCCCTAGAGGTGTCTGGAACATTGTCAGATCTCTAGACTACTCATCCAAACTCCTCTGATCAAACATAATATGCAAATCAAGTTGTGTATAGTATGTATGTGTTAGCAACAGTGTAGAGGGGACCCAAAGGCTCAGCAAGGGGACCCAGGCTACAACTATCCTACACAACAGAAATACAGGACACAAGCACCAGAACATAGTCAGAACTTGCAGAATGGGCAGAGAGAGAGAGTGAGACAAGAGTAGAGTATATAGAGTGAGTCTAAGAGTACAGGACTACCTAGAGTAGACAAGATCAAGACTACAGGACCAGTCTGATCTTGTATGCCTATATATACTAAACTACACAAGAGTACTCAGGGAGTATGAGCCACTAAGAATGATGAGCCACAAAGAATGAAAGAAAGGAATGTTAAAGATAAAGGTACAAAGAATGAAGGGATGGATAAAGGGTAAGAGACCAGAGAATGATACAAAGAATGAAGGGGTGGTCAAAGGAATGGAATGATGAAGTAAGGAAGGGTAGTGGCAAGAGTCAGTATGCATATAGTTCATAGACAGCACCCCTAAGGGACAGAAGTCCTGAGTTCTGGTATGGAAGGGTGCAGAACCCTCAGAACTGAAGGTATGAGAGCAGAGAACTGTAACATCACCCCCCCTCTAAAACCAATTGTCCTGATTGGTGAGCATTAGGCTTGGTCAGTAGCTTGGGCATAGGTTGGAACAGTAGGGTTTGGAAATCTGTGAGGCAGAGTTGATGCAGAGCACCCAGATGAAGTCAATAGAAGTCTTGGATCACCTTAGCAGTATGGGTGAGATTCTCAGCAGGTTCCCAAGTGTGTTCTTCAACTAGGTATCCCTTCCAGTGAATAAGGAACTTGAGCTTTCCATACACCAGCTTAGCATCTGCTATGTATTCTACTTTGTATTCTGGTTCAGAACCAATGAGTTCTAGTAGAGGCAGTGAGGGTCTTTGTTGTGAAGGAAAACCTGGATTGTAGTATTGAGACAGTAGAACCTTGTTAAACACTGAGTGTATGTGCTTCCATGTTGCCAGAAGTTGGAGTTTGTAGGCAGAGGCACTGACCTTCTTTTCAATAATGAAGGGTCTGAAGTGCTTGTTGTCCAACTTCTTCATTAGGCAATCTGTGGTTAGGTTAGTAGCTTCCAGCATAACTTTGTCACCAGGCTGGTAATCCTTAGCCACAGACCTCTTCCAATCATAGTTCTGCTTCATGACCTACACTACCTTTTCTAAAAGAGCTTGTGTGTCCTCCCTGGTTCTGTACATCCGTTCTACAAAGTCTGTTACAGATTCAGAACTGTCATTCTGGTTCAGAACTGTCCCCTGGTACAGATGTCTCCTATGATTGAGGAAGAACAGGGACTGTCCTGTTACAGAGTGTTGCTAGTTATTGTGTACAAATTCTGTCAGAGCTAACCATTCAGACCAATCTGATTACTGATGATTGATGAACATCTGGAGGTAGAGCTCAATCTCCTGATTGACTCACTCAGTTTGACTGTCAGTCTGCAGGTGATAAGCAGTGGAAGGGTTCCCTTGAATTCTAAGAAGTGTATACAAGTCCTATATGAATTTTGACTCGAATTACAGTCTACAATCATGAATGAGCTTCTGAGGGAGTCTGTACAACCAGAAGACATGATCCTAATAAATGTGCACTATGCCTTCAGAAGTGAGTTCTGTTCAGGTTGGAACTGTATAGACTTGCTTGGAGAATCAGTTGACAATCATGTAGATAGTATTGTAACCCTAAGACTTGGGTAGCTTGCCAATCAGGTCCACTAAGACTTCTTCCTAAGAGTGATCCAGGATCTGATACAGATGTAGGGGAGCCCAAACCCTTGTCTGGTGGGCCTTAGTCTGTTGGCATGTATTACAACCAGTCACATACTTCAGGATTTCCCTCTACATTCTGGGCCACCAGTAGTTCCAAGTGATGAGTTCCTGTGTTTTGTGTCAGCCTGGATGTTCTACAGTCAGATTGTTGTGATAAGCTCAGACAATGTCCTCCTACAGTTTCTGATCCTTTGGAACATACAGTTGGCCTTCCTAGTAAACCTGTCCATCCTCATCCTCCTCCTAATCCCTAGCCTACTTCTCTAGTTGCTTCACTACAACCTGGTCCTGTATGTGTCTCAGAGCTCACTGTATGTAGGTGACAAAGTCAACATCCTTGGATTTGAGTCGGATCTCTCAGATTGTCTTGGACACAAAACAGGAATTGTCTAGGAGAACAAGATTTTTGTTATCATTCTCCCCCCTTTCATAACCTACTTGTCTTGAGAGTAAATCAGCTTTTGTCATTTGTGTTCTGGGTTTGTGGGTCAGTACAAAGTTATAGTCCTGTAGTTCTAACATCTAGCAGGCCTAGCAGCAGTTAAGCTTCTGAGGTGCTCAGAAGTACTAGAGATTAAGGTGATCACTCCAGATCTCAAACTTCTACACTACACTGAGGAGATATTGACACCACTCTTCTAGGGAACAGACAATTGCAAGGAGTTCCTTGTCATAGATAGGGTAGTTCTGTTCTGTTGTAGAGAGGGATTCCAATCAGAACACTATTGGACACTACTTTCTGTCAATGAACTGGGACAGTACTGCTCCATTTGCAAAGTTGGAAGAGTTGGCTTTGACTCAGAACTTGTCTACAACTGTCAGAACTACTAATACAGGCTTGCTGGTGATGGCCTGCTTGAGGGACTCAAACACAGACTACTACTGATCATCCTATTACTAAGGAACATCCTTGCTGGTGAGATCATAAAGGGGCTGGGCAATAGTACTGAAGCTTTGAATGAAGTGTTAGTAGTAGTTTGCAAACCTAAGGAACACTTGGACCTGTTTCAGGTTCCAAGGTTGTGGCCAGTTCCAAACTGTAGTCACCTTTGCTAGATCCATGCAGACCTCTCCTCCACCAATCACAAAGCTCAGATAGTCCACTGACTCTTGTACAAAAGAGCACTTTGCTTCTTAGAGGAACAGTTTATTATCTCAGAGCTGTTGTAGAACCACTCAGATCAGTCAGTAATAGTGCTTGACTGTCTGGGTGAAGATCAGAATGTTGTCCAGATACACACTAATGTGCCCCAAGTTAATCAGATCTGTAAGGATGTGATTCATGAATGACTGGAATGTTGTAAGCAAGTTAGTTAGTCTGAAG